GTGGGATAACTCGAAATTCGAAATACGCTGAAGTCGATAAGGATGTTGATAATAATGATAACTCCTTATCAGACTAATAATGACAGCTCGGGTCAGATATTACCTGAGAATGTTCCTTTGAAATTCTGTACCCTCCCAGTATCAAAAAAAAAGACGAAGGAACCCAGGGAAAAAGAAATTTTACAAAAAAAATAATAAATTACCAACATCTTAGAGTTGACAAGTGCAAATTGCATGTTGTAGCCAGTTACAGTGTAAAAATTATCGTGGTGAGAGATGTATATTTTAAATGGAATATACAGCTGTAAATCTTCACAAAAATGTTGCAGCCCAATATTTTTTGAATTTTTTTGTTTCTCAACACGATTTTTGCATTACTATATTGGTTTTGTGTCGTTGCGAACGGGAGTGGTACGTCCGAAACTGGCCACGCCCTCAGTTATAGATTCTAGCCTTTTTTCCAAAGATTTTGAATTGTATAAATAAAAGTGAGTGATAATATCAATGAATTGCATTCACCTATTTTCAACATTTATCATGTTATGCCAGCTAAATTGACCCGTATTGATGCAACCCCGAGTCAGACCAAAACTAATTTAAATCAAAGCAATTCAGATCGTTTCCATCCGTTTATATTTCAAATTTCTCATACTTATTAATCTTATTCTTTCGATGAAGTGTTCTATGTTTGTGTTCGGATTCATGTAATTGATATGCGTCGTAATTATTTTAGTGACAATATTGCAAATTGATGTTGCAAAGCTATGAATTTCAGAAATAATGTCCTCATTTGCGGTTTTAAAAGAAGAATTGGACTCGTTGATATTGGGTGTGAATCGGTACAATCCAAATAATATCGAAATCCTCGAGAACTGTATCCAGGCGATGGTACAGGAGAATCAATATGACAAAGACATCTTATTCACAACTCTTAAATTATATCAACTTAACCCTGATAGGTAGGTGTCTTATTTATTAACACTTCATTTGTCTGTATTTTGTTAACTGACAATAAAGGTATTGTTGAATTGAAGATATAACGAGGCAATCGTTCGTATGATCTTATTGAAAACAATGATGATGTCGCCACGAAGTGATTATGCTCTAGCGAAGTATTTGATCGATTCGAGTCGGATTCAGTCGCCTGAATTGAAGCGGATTTTCGATATTGGTGAGGGGTGCATTCGATAGATTGTTTTTCTTTTGCTGTGAACATTTTATATTTTATGTAATTGTCACCATTATTTCAGGTGCACTGTTGGAATCGTGTAATTTCGCAGTATTTTGGAAACTGATGCGATTCGATTATCAGCCTTCAAGCGATTCACAAGAATGCTTCAAACAGCCTGCCGAAGTACCAAAAATCATCAAAGCAATTCCTGGTTTTGAAGAGAGTATCAGAAATTGTTCGTTTTTTTATTTTTATGATTGGTTATTATCAATGAATTGGTGATATTCAAGTGGTTCTGTTTGCAGATGCGTGTCAAGTCATCAATGTAACATTCCAGAATATCGAAAAATCACTTTTGGTACGGTTATTGGGTGGAATTTCGGGTTAGTTGGATGGATTGTTGAATTGTAAATGCATTTGTTATTGTTGTTTCTACTACAATTCATTATTATAACTCTCAGACAAACAAGTAAATGAGTATGCAAAACGATATGGTTGGATTCCAAAAGAGAACGGTGATGTTTTGTTCGTGCAGAATCATGAAGCAACGATTAAAAGTAGAAATATCGAAGAGAAGCTGCTCTTTGAAAGTAATTTTTTGAATTATTGTTAATTTTCATTTATTGTCACCATTATTTTCAGTGATATTTATTCTTATCACCATTGTTTTTATAGTATCAGTAAATAATCCGTATCAGTAAACAATTTCAGATTGCAAAGATTTATTGCGACAGTTGTGTTGAGCACGTGAAGTTGTCCTCGAAACGGTTTCATATTAATTGTTATAAAATTGTTATAAAATTTGACGTTGTATCATTTTTGTGGGTTAATGATTATGCTGAAATTATCGCTGATTAATAATTATTGTTGTTATACTATTTGAAATTTTTGTTTCGGTTTACGATTTTTATCGGGATTTTTGTTACAATGAAGGATTTGAATGTGTTCATCTGAATAAAGTTAGCAGTCTGTTTATCGGAGTTTTTGGTACATTTATGAATAATTCACAAGAAAATGATTTTGTTGAATTCATAACTTAATATTTCGATAATTTAACCGTTTGCTTGAATGTGATAATTTTTGATTTATCACAGTATTTATAGTGATGACGATTATCCTAATGCCAATTTAAAAGCACCGTCTTATTTTGAAATATATATATATATATATATATATATATATAT